GGGGGGGGGGGGGGGAATGGTACAGTCCCGAAAAACGTCGTCTGTTATTGCCTTGACGTTTGACGCGTCAATTCTCTTTTCCATTTTCTTGTCGTCGTTGTCTTAGTTGTGCCCCTGTGTTCGCCGCTCAAAACGTCAGAGGGGGAGGGATGGTGAGTTCGAGCGACGTGACGCCGGTGTTGAGTGCAGCGTCGTGGTTGCCACCAGTAGCGAGCACCTCTCCTGGCTCGGGTTCTGGGTGAGTGGAGCGACCCTCTGTGCCATCTAGATTGCAATGGAGGAGGAATAAACTTTTTGGTTTCTTTTTACCTTCATGTGTGTGTGTGCACAGATCCACCTTCTCCACGGGTTTCTTTTCGCGGTTGAACCCAAACCGATGGGGTAGCAGTCGTTCTGGAGCTAGTCATCACCATCCCCATCATCATCATTCCGCGCTGCAGCAGCAGAGCAACGGTTCCTCCACTTCCTCTTCTTGTTCGCCGCTTATTCCGACGGTCGTGGGGGGGAGTAGGCCGGCTGCTTCCACCACTACCACCACCACCACCGGCATGATGTCTTCCTCAGCTGCGGCCAGAGCCTTACCGGGTGTTGCTGCGGGTCAACAGCATCATCATGTTAATAATCACCATCATCATCCTCCTCCCCACCACCTCCACCACGGTCATCCCCCTACCCCTCCTCCACCACCTCCCCCTCCACCGCCACCACCATCGGGACCTGGGGTAGCATACGCTAACAACGGTTCGTCGTGTGGGACCTCGGGGCTGAATGCCGTGGCCGCCACGAAAGCCAAGATCTCCTGTAAGGATGATAATAAAAAAATAAAAAAGAATGTCTCGCATTGTTGATGCCCACTGAAATCGTTGCAGATTGGATCATGACGCGTGCTCGAGAGCTGGAGAAGGAGTACGAGATGTTGACAGGAACCGACGGTGTTGAGCAGAATAAGCAGCAACAGCAGCAGCTGCTGGACCGCGATGCCGTCTTGCGCGCTTTGGACGGCTTTTGGAAAAGCGGCGTGAACTTCAAGGCGGAAATTGTCGTTTCGCTGGCCCAGGCGGGAGATATCTTGTCGTGGCTGTCGTCGGCAGTGCGGGACTTGAAGGCAGCCAGCACAGTAAGGAAGAAGATCGGATTCGACGATCGAAATTCACTGGATTTTATATTCATCGATGATAATTTTTTATTGGTTTTGCTGCAGGAAAACCAGTGCATTGTGGCGTTGAAGGAAGTGTGCGCCATTGTGAAATCCTTCAACATCTCGCCATTTGAGATGACGCACTCGGAGCTGTTGCCTGTTCTTCTCACGTTCTTGACGGCAGATGATGATAGGTGTCACAAACCAGTGGCGGATCAAATCCTTTCTGGGTCCGGCATGGCGGAAAAGGACCACAGGAATGAGCGGAAGCGGCCTGCACGAGGAGGCGTGACGGTCAATTGCGGTGCTGGGAGCGTGAGCATTTCCCTCATCAACAACAACAACAGCAGCAGCAGCAATATGAATGCGAGAGAGAAGGACCGTGTGGATGTGACGAAATGTACGTCAGGCGCAGGTGCTCGAATGCCGTCGCGAATGACGCGAATGCGCATCTTTGCCCACGTTTTCATGGGCTGCTCGGTGAGACGTGGATTCGTTGTTATATGCAGCAAAACATTATTGGGTGCCGAGGGCACTGGTGTACAATACTAAACGTGCCTCATCTCTTGACATGTTCAGCTGGATCCTTTGTCGTCCAAGTCGGCGGATCGAGAGACGGAGTTACTGTCGTGCCTCGTTCCGAAGCTGATTGGGTGTCTGCACCAGGCCGAGCAGTTTGCCATGCGTGTGCACGACTGGCCCGGCTCGAGCAGCCAGCAACGCATGTCGGGCGCTGCAGCCATACGCTTTTTCAATACGCACCAGTTCAAGGTGAGTGTTGCCTGTGCAGTATTTACTGTAGATAATGTGTTTTTGTCACTTGACTTGACGCCCTCTTGGATCTATCTCGACTCATCTAGTGCAATTTGCAACGACATCCGGACTGTAGCACGCTGCGCAAATGGCGCGCCGGGCCCGTGAAAATTGACCCACTCGCCACCGTGTCGACGGTCGAGCAGTATATGGTGTCCAAGGGGTATGGACGGCAGCGGACTGGCGGCTATCCGGAAGACGCGGAAGACGGCGGGAACGTGGGCGCGTCGGGCAACAACGACGACGTTGACACGGACGAGGACGCGACGGACGACGAGCTGGACGAGACACTGGCGTCCATGTCGCAGAGCGGTGCGAGGCACAAGGTGGAGTTCCTCATCAACGGCCACGTCCTGCCGTTCAACATGACCATGTACCAGGCGGTGCGCCAGTACAGCTCTGGCGCCGCGCAGTCCACGGCCTCGGCCATGTGGTCGTCGCAGCAGAACGCGGCGTACTACTCTTCCGAGACGGACACGGATTCGGAGACGCCGTTGGGTGGCTCGAATATTTGGACGCAGACGCACCTAATCTACTACCGGCCGCACACGGACCCGGACCCACCGTCGTCGTCTTCATCATCCCTACACCCGCATGCGGCATCGACGGCGTCGTTGACTTCGGAGCCGCTGCAGTCTAGCGGCTCGGCCGCGGCCAATGTTGTAGCGGGCTTCTTGTCGGGACGGTGCAACAAGGGATCCCGGGCTGCATCAGCCGGCAAGGGGAAGAGTAAGGGCAAGGGAGTCGGGGCTGCCGGTGGTGGTTGTGGAGGAGCCGCGGCGACTGCAGAAGCCCTTTGGCAGGCTGGCGTCGTTGCCGACTACGTTTCTCCGTTGAGTCGTATCCCCGCCGACGGACGCCTGCCTTCCTACGTGGCTGTGACGGACCCATCCTTGTCGGTCCTAGCCCTCTTGCGGGCCGTGTATCTCATTAATCGGTACTGGGGTGACCTCTACAATGTTGGCCACTATGAACCTGTGATTTCTCCGAGTGTGAGTTGATTTGAGGTTTCCCTGGGTCAGCCATTTATTCAGTATTTCCTGTCGAGAATTTCTATTCGATTTCAATTTGCTCATTGTTTTATTGCTCACCAGGAATTCATCAGCAGCAAGTTGACGGCAAAGGCGAATCGACAGTTGCAGGACCCCCTCGTCATCATTACGGGCACTGTGCCGCCCTGGTTGCATCAGATTGCGCAGGCCTGGTGAGTTGAAAACAAAGAAGGCTTTTTTTTTTTTTTTCGTTTCAAATGCCGTCCTGGATGCTCACTTGACGTTTCGTTTTCTGTCGAATGTTGCAGTCCGTTTGCGTTTCCGTTCGAGACGCGTCAGTTGCTGTTCTACGCCGTTACCTTTGACCGAGACCGTGCCATGCAGCGCCTCATGAAGGTGCAGCCAGAATTGAGCCAGGTAAAGATGTGCGCCTTTTTCTTCTCATTTTTGTTTGCTCAGCACAGTACTGTACCTGGTTTGGTTGCCCCTTCAATTACTGTAGCAGAGAGCGACATTTTTTTCGCGTATACAGTCAAACCCCAATTTAGTCCCACCATTGGTCCCAAGTCTTTTTGTGGCACTAAATCTGGGGTAATACAAAAAATACAGGTCCCGTTCAGAGGCAAACCTATATTGTTTACATTTGCTTTTAGGTCCCCAATGATGTTGTATAAGAACAAAAGTCATGACAAAGTACAAAACAATTAGAATTTTGCCCCGTTTTGCAGAAAAATAGTGCTTTCTTCAACATCAATATGCACTGGGAGTAATGGTTCCAAGAAGATGTCATGGTTCATTATTTTGAATAATGAAAAAGCCATTTCAGATATGGAAATTCTCTATTTTGGAGGACATCCAAGGACTGCCACAAAGTCTTATTAGTAATGAAGTCACTCGGGCCACCCTTCAGCAATATGCAGCCAAATCCTTACAGGATCTGAAAAAATGCCCTGTTTTTTGGATTCTTTTAAACCCTTCAAACGCACATTCCATTAACAATGAAATATTTTTTATTCCATGTCAGCTCCAGCTAATATTATCCACTTGCCCAATTCCATGAAATTAGCATTGCGATTTTGCATCAAGTGCCAAGGTTTGCATGGCGAACCGTTCAAATTTTCTGTAGAACGATGCATTTTCATCTAAGGCAGCATATATAAAAATTGTGTAGGGTAAGGTGGTTTTTTTTAGATGCAACCCCTAAATTATATTAAAGGATTGAATTTTTCATAATCCTTCCTGGCAACAAAAACTACGTTGATCTGATTTTACAAGTTTCTAGTTGTTCATGGAAATTCTAAGTTTTAATCATGAAACCTTCAAGAAATTTGGCATTCTAACCTTGGGATAATGAGGTCTTGGCATTTGTTAGCAGTCATTTTTCTCCTCAAGTCATCACCTAGGACAATTTTTGCTGACAAGTGAAAGATAATAATGTTGACGTGATTTTACTAATTAGAGGAAAGAAAAATGAAAATTAAATATGCATGACGAATAATTCTCTGCTATCTCCCATGTGCAGAAATAAAGAGCATTAAAAAATCATCATGCACTCAATTTGCTATGGATGCCCTCCTTTTTTTTAATTTTTTAAAAGCTGAAGCTTTTCTAGCAACTTGTAATTTTTGAGGGGCCAAATGGATCAGGGCAGAGATAGCTCGTAATTCTTTGTTGAACCATTTGCGTAGACCGGATGGAAACTTCATGCAAACAAAAAACTTGATAGTCACTCAAAGCTGTCCCGAGACCAACATAAGAAAGATTAGGTTTAAAGAGTTCTTCATTCATAAGGTTTTCTACACACTGCAGCAATAAATTCGAAAGGCTTGCTTCTGATTCCCTCCAAAATTCATTTAGAAGGTTAAAGTTTAATAAAAGGTGCTATGAAGTAAACATCGAGTGTTTACAAAAAGATCATTGTTATAGGACTGTCTTAAAAGCGGGAAGGTGTTTTGCCACAAAAATGAACATTTGGAAAGATTTTACTGCAAACATGAAACATTCATACATGGTTAACTTTTTTTTGTTCACTTGAGCTGTGCTTCTTAGTAAAACGTCCATGAAATCAACAATTACAGGCTTGAAATTTAATTTTTTGTACCCACTTTTAAGCCTGAACAAGGCAGTTTTGGTTGGCAGTAAGTGAGTTGGCACTAAATCAGGGTTTCCCTTGAGAGCATAATGGAGGGAGGAGATATGTTCCACTAAAATATGTGGCACTGATGGAGGCGTGGCACTAAATCGGGGGTTGATTGAACATTAAATTGTTCGTCGTGTCGGTCATGGTATTTATTTTGGCGAGGAGAGGGTCGAGGGACGAAGTGTGTGTGTGTGTGTGTGTCTGAGCAAAATCGATTAACTCAGTCTGCAACGACAGACAAAGGCTGCGTCGTAATGAGCGCTATTCATTTGCGTTGATCAGGGGGAAAGTGCAGACCGAGTGACGCCGCGTCCGGACAAGCGCAAGCGGCGCGTGAACCGCGACGAGTTGCTGAAGCACGCGGAGGCGGTGATGAACGACCTGGCTGGATCTCGGGCCTTGTTGGAGATCGAGTTCGAGCACGAAGTCGGCTTCGGCCTGGGCCCCACTCTGGAATTTTACACGCTTGTATCGCGGGAACTCCAGAGGTTCGACTTGGACCTGTGGCGCGGAGACTGTGGGCCAGCCCAGGTGTCTCACGTGGGCCACGGCCAAGCTGGGGCAGGAGGAGGTGGCGGCGGTGGTGTCGGTGGCAGCCTAGGGCTAGGGTCGTCGTCGAGCAGCAAGAAGGACAAGGAAGCGGCGTTGATCCGCTACGTGGCTGTGCCGGGCGGCAACAGTGGACTCTTCCCGCTGCCGATGGGCCGGAGCGCCAAGCTGAGTGGGCCAGCGAAGCAGAAGGTGAAGCTGTTTCGCTTCATTGGCAAATTGCTGGGCAAGGCCCTGCTCGACTGTCGAATGGTGAGTGCTGAGTCCTTTGCTCTGTGTGACGTACAGTATATGTACATACATACATACGTACGTACATGCATACATTACTGTTCCATAAACTAGTTCAGTTTAGTTGTACCCCCTGCATATCTAACACCCGGTCTCGTGCACGTATAGCGAGTCGGGCACTTGACGCAGGCAGATTAAATCACCTTGGTCTGTAGTCACAAGGATGAAGACACGCGCTGTGAAGAGCAACGGAAATGCTGTGTTTGATCATGTGATGGGAGGACCGACAATTTTTTTGTTCTTGTTTAATAGACTATAAACCATTGCTGATGATGAATGCTGTCGATTGGGATGGATCCTTTCCTTTGCTTGATCGTTTCCCTGGCCTTCTATCATTTTAGCTGGACCTGCCTCTGAGTGTGCTGGTTTTCAAGTGGCTGCAAGGGGACACGATGTGTGCCACGACACTGCCGCCGTTGCTGGGTGCGGGATTGTCGAATAGCTGTCCATCGTCCTCTGCGGCGGCGACGTCGTCGTCTTCGTGTGGTGCGGGCTCTAGTGGGGGAGCGGCATCTCGTGGCAAGCTGAAGGGCTCGTCGTCGAGTAGTTCGGCAACTGCTGGCAAGTATGTGGTGTCGGCAGACCCGCCGTCCTTCTCAGTGGCGGACATGGCCATCCTGGACCCCGACCTGGCCCGCACGTTTTACCAACTGCTGTCTGTGGTGCACCGTATGGAGCGGCTGGAGGCGAGGAAGCGGGAGCGGATGGCGGCTGCAGGCGATCACAACGAGGACGAGTTGGCGGCCGACGAGGCCATGGACCTGGACGCTGTGGCCGAGCTCGGACTGGACTTTACCCTACCGGGCCACCCGGGCATTGAGCTGCGCAAGGGTGGCCGGGACATGGCGGTCACGGCGCAGAATCTCGGCAATTATTTGAATGTATGTACTGTAGTGATGCCTGACGGATTGCCTGATGCATTACTTGGTATTGGATGATGGATGGATTGATTTTTTTTCTGTCGGGGTTTCCAGTTGGTGAAGCATTGGTGTCTGGTCGAGGGCGTTGGCAGACAGATGGAGGCGCTGCGAGAGGGATTCGAGTCGGTGCTGCCGACCAACTGTCTGAGCCTGTTCTTCCCAGAAGAAATGGAGGTGTTGTGTTGCGGCACGGGCGGCGGACGGTGGGACCTGCGCACGTTGATGGACTGTTGCCGACCGGACCACGGCTACACGCACGACTCGCGGGCCGTGCGCTGGTTTTTCGAGATCCTCTCCACGTATGATCGGGATGAGCAGCGTCAGTTTCTGCAATTTGTCACTGGTTCACCCAGACTGCCGGTGGGAGGTGAGGCCTTTTTTCTCTCTTTAGTTTATTTTTGTTTGTTTGTTTTTTTCACAATCTTTGCATGAATTGACAATGACTTTATAAACATGTGTGCTTGTTTTTTAACAAGGTTTCAAGAGTCTCTCTCCGCCCCTGACCATTGTACGGTCCATGGGTGTGAACGTGAACGCGGACGACATGTTGCCGTCGGTCATGACATGCGCCAACTACCTGAAGCTGCCGGACTACTCGTCGGCCGACATCATGCGTGACAAGTTGCGGCTGGCGGCCTTGGAGGGCCAGTACGCTTTTCATTTGTCTTGAGTCTGTCGATAGACATGTTTTCCAAGCCCCTTCCTGCCACGCCGTGACACCACACCATCCCATATCCCCGCCCCGCTCCACGCGCCTGGGACCAGCATGTGTGTTTCTTCTTCGCGGGACTAGAATGAAAATACCTTCAACTACCTGTTGCCCGACGCTTTTCGGTGCGAGAAATTCCTTCCTGTGCTTGATCTCTCGAACTCTTTTTTTTTCTCCCTCTTTTTTTTTTTCTTCTTCGTCTCTTTTTTTTTTTTTTTTTTTCTTCGACTGTGTTCCATTTTTCTGTCTTTCATGCCTCGAGAACTGTTCCTCCTCCTCCTCAAGGATTTTTTTTAAGAATTGAATGATCGATCGATTTATTTTAGTTTGACGGTGTCTTCTTGTTCTTTTTGGCTTGGTTCAATGCCGGAGAAGCACGTGTTTGTCCCGACCATCTCTCCCGCCCAGCGTTGTGGACGGGGACCGAAAGTCATTTGCCCCTCCCCATTTTGTTTTTCAGTTATGAACGCACGTAATCCCTGCCTGTTCGAATGCGTGAAGGCGTGTATGAGTGTGTGAAGGCGTGAACAGTCGCGTTACGAGGGAAAAATCGGAGTAATAAACATTTTTTGTCGTGCTTGAAGCTTCAGAGTTGGTTTTTATTCTTGTTGAAGGATTGAATTGTGGTTTGGTGGAGAAATGAGACTGTTTCGGAAGGCGAGCGGTTATTCTGAATGTCGACGATAGCGAGCCGAATATTGTGTCTTCGTGACGTCATGGATTGTGAAAAAAGAACCTCGAGATCGTATTTCACAATCCTGCCGTCATTGGCGGAAAAGAGTAGCGGGGTAAGAGTCGATTTCGCCTTCCGACACAAATTTCATCGTTCATGGGGGAACGTTCTTTCGAGGGTCGTCATTCACACAGGTCATGCATGTATGAATGATCGTCTTTCGATTCTGCTCCTCTACTCCGAATCTATGGAGATGGGGTTTCCCGGCATGTACGAGGTTGTTCATTTCACGGAAAGGTAATTCTACAGTGTTTGCTCGAGGATTTAAGCGACGGTTACTCTTGTGTGAAAAGAAATACTGTACAGTACTTGTCGCGAAAGTGCTTTTCCGCGGATATGAAAGGCCTTCAACTTTTCATTGAATAATTTCTCCGTCGGAGTGAAGGAAGATTCAAGAAACGCTACTCAGCTGACATCCGCGCAAGCTGTCGATTCATCGCGGAGATGACCACCACGGATTCGACCAAGTCCCGCTGCACAGGGATGCAGGCGGCGTCGTGAATTGAATAAACCACGACTACAATTGGCAGCGACCTCTAGTATACTGTTAGAGAATCATCGAGCCACTGCTCTGCTCGATGAGAGACGTGAGCACCGAATTCATTTCTTCTGTGCCTTGTGTGGGTGGTGTTTGGTGTTCCATGGACGGGAGAAAGTGATGTGAAGTATTCCGGATTCAAGGTCATTCTAGATCTTCGGACTAATTCCTTAATGTTGGAAGGTGCCGGAAGTCCTCCCTGTGTATTGCCTGGATGCAGAGGAACAGAATAGCAGTGCATTCAAGATAGTAATGCCCCTGCTGTGGTGATGTGGGAACGAGCGAATCTGTTTTTTGAGCGTCTTTTGTCAGCGTGACGCTTTGAGATTGCAATTGATTCGAGCGCACGTTCTGTTTTTATCAACAGTACAGTATGTCAAGAATCAGGTGCTCCTCGGCGTAATAACAATTATGTCGTTGAGTGATTTTGCATCTGGCGCGTGGGACTCCCTGGATGTTTGGCTAAATTTGCTGGACTTCTCGGAAGCCCGTGACGGATTCCTTGGGATCGATCATGAAACGAATACGACTATAGAACGCCTCGGAACCTTGTTCGGCGATGCCAGCGGAACGCAGTTTTGCGGTGAAGGATTCGAGAACTTCCAGAACACGGTGAAGGGGTTCCACGGCTATTTGAGCCTCGTCATCTGCATCTTGGGTATGGATCCACTCTCTAATACTGTAATCGTGACTCTTTGTGAAAGTTACGACGTATATGTTTTGTCTGTTGTACGTTATTTCTCTCATTCAGGAACCATCATGAACATGCTGAACATCATCGTACTGACGAGGAAGGAGATGGAGTCGCCGACCAACTCGATCCTGACGGGACTCGCGGCGGCCGACATGTTGGTGATGCTGGAGTACATCCCGTATGCGTGCCATGTGTACATTTTCAACGACCGGCCGCTCGAGAGCCGATTGTCTTATGCCTGGTCGGCCTTCGTCATGTTCCACGCCCACTTCAGCCAGATCTTTCACACCATCTCCATCTGGCTGACGGTCACGCTGGCGGTGTGGCGCTACATCGCTGTCCGATTCCCGCAGCGGAATCGCATGTGGTGCGACATGAAGTCTGCCGCAGCGGCCATCACGTCGGCCTTTGTCTTCAGTCCGATCCTGTGCATCCCGAGCTTCCTCATGTTCAGCATCCACAGGAAGAAGCTGGTGCACAGCGACGAAACGGTCACGTCGGTCTACGTGGTGGCGCCAAGCAAAATGGCCATTGCTGACGACGGCATCCTCCAGCTTGTCAACTTTTGGACGTACTCGGTGTTCATCAAGATTGTGCCGTGCGTGGCACTCATGGTGCTGACGTATGTACTGGTGAGTACAATGTACGAGGCGCAGAGACGGCGCCTGGACCTGACGAGCAACGCGGTGAAACGGGGCGGTGGTGATGCAACAACAACGACGACGAGTAGTCTCGCGGAGCCATTGACGACTACCACTACTGCGGTGAGCAAGTCCGGTGGGCGAAAGCAGAAGCAGACGGATCGGACGACGCGGATGCTCGTGGCCGTCGTCGTGCTCTTCCTCATCACGGAGATCCCACAGGGCGTTCTTGGACTGCTGAGTGGCCTGCTGGGTCGAGGTTTCTACGAGACTTGCTACCACTACCTGGGCGAGGTGATGGATCTGCTCGCACTCACAAATTCTGCCATCAACTTCCTTCTCTACTGCTGCATGAGCTCCCAGTTCCGCCGCATATTCTCGCAGCTCTTCAAGCCGCACGTCATGCACCGTTCTCCAAACGCCAACGGAGCCGTGTCCACGGCTGCTGAGACTCAGATGTAGACGTGTTGCGAATTTCCGTGTTTTGTTGTCCATTTCGGCGGCGGCTGCATTCTTATAACCTGCCGTCGTTTGTGGGGACATGGGTGTTGTAGATTAAAAAGCGAGCTACGTGTTTGGGGAATGAAGAGGTGGACAAGTGGCAGGGACAGAAAATGACATTCCCTAGTCGTCGTTTATTGTGCGTAGGTGCTAGCCGAGGATAGGAGGGGAGAGAATGATGCATGCTTACGGAAGTTTGGGTGTTAACGCTAGTACAGTATTGGAATGCTTCAAGCTCGGAAGGGTCCTGCGAATGAAAGAGCAGTGGAAGACAGACGAGCGGGCTGGGCTCAGGTGCAGGAATCCGGAAATACTGTATGTCGTTGATGTGGGGCAACTATTGCGCAATTGCTTTCACGTTGTCATGATTCTTTTTTATTTTCCCGTATTGTGTAGCAGTGACGAGGTATTCGTTACTTTTTTCTTGGCCCTGTTGCTTCTACCCTCCTTCAATAGTCAGCCCGCGAATCGAACTCGGCCGAGACAGTCGACGCCTCAAATCCCGTGAATGTGAACGGCTCAATTCCAAAGAAAAAAGTGTATAGGGCCGCCAAGAGATTCTATGGACGTTTCGTCTTTACCAAACTTTCACTGTACCTGTATTATCTTCGGAAAAAGTGTTCACTTGCCTCGCTCTCCGTGAAAATCGAGAAATGGTCTAACTCTGGTGAAAACGAATCCATCACATTGAGTTTCGAAGTCCGACTCACAAGCGAGCAGAGCGAAATGTCATGCTTTAAATATTGATCGAAACGTGAATCTGTGTCATTTGTTTGAATGGTGCAAACTTGCTAAGTCAAAAGATGAAACTCTTCGTTTCCCTCTTTTTTTGCCATACCGTTTGATGATCGGAGTTTTAGTCAAATTCTAGTCTAAGGAACCCTGGTGCTTTATTTGTGTTCATCAATAAAATACGTGTCCACAAAAACATACTCATTATCTTTTATTCTGTGAAATTTTCTGTTTTTGTTGCGTTCGTTCGTTTTTTTGTTTTTTACCACCTCTGGTTTTGTAGATTTGGTCGCTGTGTTCACGAGCACTCGCGTGTAAGAATGTCGATTGAAACGATCCCCCCGACGACAACCACTTTCCGCAATCTGCGTGCTTGCCTCGTCTGTTCGTTGATTAAGGTGCGTACGATGTTTTGAAAGGAGGGGGAATCCCCGCGACTACGTGTCCGATGTGATAAGTTGCTTTTTCTGTTGGACAGACCATGGAGCAGTTTGAGCACGACGGATGCGACAACTGTGACGCTTACCTGAGAATGAAGAGCAATCGGGATAACGTGTACGACTGCACCAGCTCCAATTTCGACGGGTGAGTGAGTTGGGAACCTCTCAGCATCTGTGCTCGTGAGACGTGACAGCCACTACTGATGCCTGATTCCACCTACAGAATGATCGCCGCCTGCAATCCGGCCGACAGTTGGGTCGCCAAGTGGCAGAGAATTAGTGAGTGGTGCTAAATTCTCTATCTTCGTCTCTTTGCTTTTCTGATTGATTAATTCATTTTTTTTCTTTTATTTTTTGGATGCGGTGCAGATCGTTTCGTGCCCGGAATGTATGCCATCTCTGTGTCCGGCGAGTTGCCACGCAGTGTGATCCAGGACATGCGAAGCCGCGGGATTGCCTATCACCCGAGAGACACGAGTACCAGATGATGATGACGTTGCTGCTTTACCGATTCTTGTGCGCCTGCATGCCCGTCTATCTGTGTCTGTCTTCCTCTACATGCTCCGAGATGAAAATACACATTCGTTCCTGTCTTGTATCGGTGCGGGTGTTGGATTTTATTCCTGTGAGGGAACTGTGCGTGTGTGGGTCGTTGGTATGTGCTAACGTTTCTCCGCTGTCCTTCTCTTCCCCTTCCTTCTCAGGTTCTACTGTATCGTATTTCGTTGCGAAGCGCGGTGATCCCATCTGTGTCCTTGTCGCGAAAGGAGGTGAAATTCGTCGATAGCAGCTGGAACAGTATACTGTACTGTACTTCTTTTCTTTTTCTCTGCACCCCCCTTGCTTGCATCGTGCATAGAAATTTGGAGCAGCCAGTCGGCCAAACGAGAGGGTGCTGGCTCGAGCGAAACTTAAATGTAAATAGACGGTGGGTTGAGGTGAATTAAGCGCTGTGCAGGTATTGCATTCTCTCGGAAAAGACAGTCGTACAGATGAACATCCACCTGCCGAAAGAAAATACATTTCTGGATAGATTGTCGGGATATTTGGTTTGTTGCAGTGTCTACTGTTGTGGAAGCGGCAATGGTGTGTATGTGTGGTATGACCGGGGCGGTGAAGCGTGGCGGGTGCGGGTGGACCGTGCCGCAGAGGTGGTTCTCCATGTCCCGGATGGCCCGTAAGACGGCCAAGGTGCTCACACTCGACTCGATGAACCCGTCCATCAAGACGATGGAGTACGCCGTTCGTGGCCCACTCGTCATCCGCGCGGTCGAGATTGAAAAGGAACTACAGGCCGTAAGATGAGCGGGATTACGTCCTTTTATTTTTGCTTACAATTTTTTTTTTCTGCGTTCCATGAACGCGTGCTCGAATAAGTGTCAGTACTGTATAGCAAGTACGGTAATGCGTGTGTGTGTTATTGATTGCGTGAGCAGGGAGCCAAGAAGCCGTTCGCTACCGTCATCCGCGCCAACATCGGGGATGCTCACGCCATGGGCCAGAAGCCCATCACCTTCTTGCGCCAGGTGAGGTGGGAGACGGCGTCCGGCTCATTTCGCGTGTTCGACACGAGCAGCAGAGAGGGGGGGGGCAGAATAACACAGACTCACTGTCGTTAATTAGGTCGTGGCGGGCTGCGTGAACCCTGCCGTGCTGCACTCTGCGCCGGCAGACGTGAAAGACCGGGTGAAGCGGATCTTGGACGGCTGCAAGGGGCGCAGTGTTGGCTCCTACTCGGACTCGCCCGGCCTGGAGGTGATCCGGCGGGACGTGGCCGACTACATCAGGGCGCGGGACGGAGGGATCGAGTCCAACTGGGAGGACGTGATGTTGTGCGGGGGTGCATCGGACGGGATCCGGGCCGTGCTCAAATTGTTCAACGTGGTGCAGGACGGCAAGAAGCCCGGGGTCATGATCCCGATCCCGCAGTACCCGCTCTACTCGGCGTCCATTGCCGAGTTCGACATGGAGCCGGTGAGAGTCGTTGGCATCTGTCTGTCTGCTGTCTTCCCTGTGCAGTGGTACAGTACATTACGCTACTGTTTTCTTATACTGTACAGTAAAATCTTGTTGAAACAAATACAGTAGAATTCCGTTACAACGAATCTCATTATAACAAATTTTTTTCTTGGTCCTGGCAGTTTCCCATAGGCGTGATGTTATAGAAATTTTGTTATAACGAAGTAATTTTAGGCTGTAATCTCATTATAACAAATTTTTGCCATGATTCTGTGCACAGCCTGTATAGGGATTACTCAAGAAATGGCAGAAATTGTTGAAAAAATTAAAAGATGCAGCAGTACAACTTCATAAAAAAATCTTCATGCAAAGAAAACTTGCTATCCAAGAAGTACACAACAGGGCATATTTTTTGAAATTCTTTAGCTCATCCATTTTAGAATATGCCTTTTTCAAGTGAACAGTATGTTAGAAGAATGTTCCTCTATTTTAAAAAGAGCCATGACTGGATAAGTTGATGGAGAAGGAAATGGAGCATGTTTATCATACGTAATTTTGTTTTCATTTTTCATGATCAGCTATACGAATGCAGCAATTTGTACTGGATTGCAATACAAATCCAGCAATCCAGTACAAATGTTTGTTCATTTAAAGGAGAGTACTGTACTTTTTATATCAATGGATTTCTCTTCATTTCATCAGAAGTAATCACTAATTATGCTAGGTCTTTAATTATGTGTTTTAGAAGCATTTTGAAGCATGTATTCCCCATTTCCAATAAATTTTCATTCTGAAATTTGCTAAAAATCATTAATCTTGATGCAGCAAATTTTTTTTTATAACACATTTTTTCTCAGGTCCCCAGGAGCTTTGTAACAAGATTTTACTTGTATCATTACAACAACTTTTTCAGTATAACAAACTTTTTTCATAGTCCCTGCAGAAATCCTATAGGGTACATGGAAAAAAGGAACCCAACAAAACTCATGTTAAAAAGGGTTTCTATGCTTGAGAAACAATGCTGATGCTTGGAAATTGTAAGCTTTTTTGGAACATCCACCCTTACAAATCTGTTCCGGAATTGCTTAGAAAACCTTACTCAAAAAAGTGCTAGTGTACACCTGTTATTCAGGTTAATTGCTTGTTATTTACATATAAATTTCTTTTTGAAAATTTCAGTTTTTTAAAATGCCTGAGAAATATAGAAATATCTGAAAAAGCTACAGAAGAAATATGTTCGAAGTATGCAGGTTTAATTTTCAGAAAATCTTCGCATCAGTTAAAAATTTTGAAAATCTTGATGTAATAAATAATCTGTTACTGTGTAACAAATTTTTCTGAAGTCCCCACAAGTTCGTTGTAACGAGATTTTACTGTATTCTGTTTATTGCCCAGATCAACTACTACATGAACGAGAGCAACAAGTGGGGCCTGGACGTGGCAGAACTGAAGCGAGCTGTGGACAAGGCACGGCAAACGTGCAACCCCAAGGCCATTGTTGTCATAAATCCGGGGAATCCAACAGGTGAGAGAGAGAAAGACGTCCGTCTACCTGTACTCAGTTGGATAAAAAATTTTAAAAATTCTGCAACATGATGGGTTCATTTATTTCATCCGATTTCGCAGGACAGGTATTGACGAGAAGCAACATTGAAGACATTGTGCGATTTGCGCGCGACGAGCGACTCGTGTTGTTTGCCGACGAGGTTTACCAGGACAACGTGTACGCTGCCGAGGACCAGTTCCACTCGTTCAAGAAGGTGATGATGGAGCTGGGCGCCCCGTACTCGGGCCTCGAGCTCGCCTCCTTCATGTCCTCGTCCAAGGGCTACATGGGCGAGTGCGGGCTGAGAGGCGGTTATGCGGAGATTGTCAATTTCGACGACGACGTCCGGGCCATGTTCCTCAAGAGCATATCGGCCAAGTTGTGTCCGACCGTGCTGGGACAGGTGAAGTGAAGACGGGGCTTTTTATTTAATTTTTTGGTCTGGGTCATTTTTCTCGAGAGGTCTTTGATCATTAATTGTCTGTTCTTTCGTCCCCCCCCCCACCCTTCCCTTCCCTTCCCTTTCAAGTATAGGCGACCATGGATGTGGTGGTAAACCCTCCTCGGGCTGGGGAGCCAAGTTTTGAGCTTTACGCAGCCGAGAAAAAGGCCGTCTTGTCGTCGCTGGCGCAGAGGGCCCACATGGTTGCGGACACGTTCAACTCCATGCCTGGCGTGTCGTGCAACCCGGTGCAGGGTGCCATGTATTGTTTCCCAAAGGCGAGTGTCGAACCCCTCGTTTCGACAGAAGAAATAGAAAAAAATAGGAAAAATTAAGTGCGAATATCCGCGTTTATGCTTTGCCTTCCAGATTGAAATCCCGCCCAAGGCCGTGAGTGCAGCCGAGAAATTGGGACAAAGTGCCGACTTCTTTTATTGCATGCACCTGTTGGAAAAGACGGGCATTTGCGTGATACCGGGCAGTGGGTTTGGCCAAGTGCCTGGCACATATCATTTCAGGTCAGTCTACGAGTCAGTCGGTCTGCTGTTGGGTTGAGAATTTTCGTTGCTGGGATCGTCGGTAGGAAACCTATTTTTATTTTATTCTTCTTGCAGGACGACGATTCTGCCGCAGCCCCAGCTGCTGGCCTCTATGCTCGAACGAATGAAGGCGTTTCACGAAGACTTTACGAATCAATTCAGCTAGTTTCATTCACACGAGAAGAAGAAGGAGGAGGAGGAAATCATTGGGTCGATCAAAGACGAAAGCGCTAGTTTACCGTAACGTTTTGTGATTTATTTTTTCACCATTTTAGTTGATGAGGTGATTCTGACGTGTGCTTTTCTTTTCCGTGTCGTCGTCGAGTGGGCTCGGCAAATGAAACGAAGGAAAGGGGAGTTGGGGGGGGGGGGGGGGTTGGTTGTTAGAGAGCAAGTTAGGTATGTAGAGATATGAAGGGCACAAGTCAATTCATCAGGGAAGAAATGCAATGAACAATCGAGCGATGCTGTCTACGACAAAGGCCAGAAGGAATAATGTCTTCGAAACCCGTGAATCTGTTGGTGCGTGTTTTGCCGTCGTGTTGTGTTGTCTTCTTGTCTGTCTGACTTGTTAGTACAGTACTGTACTGTGGCGAACAAAACGGAAAGGATTGAGAAGAGAGAAAGAGCTGAAACTGCAAGGAGACCATCCTTCATCCCTGCACCCAGCCAGAGACTATGCAGAATTCGGGTTACGGAACAACTCCAACAGCGACAACTCGCACAGTTTTTTCCACTATATTTCTACTCTTCTAAATTGAAGCTCAGGGAAGTGTGAATAATTTTTCGCGCCTAGATTCTCTTTTTTCCAACATTAATCGTAATCCTTTTTCACTTTCTAAATTTTAAAAAATGAAATTGAAAAAAACTAAAAATGAAATTGGAAAATTTTCCGTGAAAATTTCTCTCGTTTATTCTTTGTTTTGGCATAGAGGAACACAGTTTCATTCATCAGATTTTTTCTGAAATATTTTTGGAGCATGAAAAAGTTTGGGATTCCGTGATTGCAAGACTTTTTCTTATTACAATTGATTTATACATCACATCACGTAAATAATATGATGAAAATAATTTCATACAAAATCTCAGGTTGTTTTGGCTACTTCTAAAAATCAGAAATTGAAGAACTGAAATACATAGCATTTATTTTTACATTAAAATACTGTTGATTGTGAGGAATTTCAAAATCAACACTCTTGATTTCTTGGTATATTAAAAACGGAGATTTTTGAAATTTCTAATGGTTCTCCCTTTCCTGGTGTAGTTTACTCATTACATTTTTCTGTGACGTTAATTGTTTTAACCTGTACCAGCTAGGAAAAGGGCTGTGCCCCAAAATCATTTGACGTGAGGGATCTTTTGGAATATTTTCACTTATTGATCGGACATTGCCCCCAAGAAGTTCTTCTCAATATCTGCACTCATTGATGCCACCAGCAGTTTAGGCGGGGGCATCAATTATTTTTAAAAATTGTACTGTATTTCAATTGCACATAGACATTGCTGGTTCATTTCTCTTTCATGATCTTGAAGGAAATTGCAACATTGTGATTATGAAGAAGTTAATCTAGTGAAGTTGGGCAAATCATGAATATCTTTGAGGATGACTGGTGAAGTGATGTTGGGATTTGATGAGTTGGTCTTCTATATCAGTGGAATGGTATTCAGAGATCTGGAACATGCATTGCATCAAATGATTTCTGAGCATGGCCTTTTTGTGGTGCAGGTTACAATAAAATTAATGCCACACCTATCAATGTGGGGTTATTGCATCATAGGCAGTGATGATCCATTTATTTGTATACTGTATGTTCTTCCAATAGTATATTCTTACTTGCAAAAATTTGTGTGACAGATGCTTTATAGTGCACACAAGTTCTGCAATCACTCTCCCGAAAAATGTTTAAGGATGACAAATAGAATTGTGTTCTCTCTATGTTTAAAAATGAAGAAGCAACTGAAGAAATTTGCTTGGACAAAATTCTCTTACTTTTATCTTTTTGGGTACCATTTTGTAAATTTAGAAAGTGAATGACAAAAATTAATGTTGAGCACAAGAGAATGTCGGCATTATAGGTACATTAGTATACATTTTTCTGAGCTTCAATTTAGAGGATAAAAATTATAAACAGAAAGAGAAAAAAACTGTGCAACTTGTTGATGTTTGAGTTTTTGGGTAATCCAGAATTCGTATTGAACAAGATGTTTTATTATTATTTTTGTTTTTTGTGTGTGTGTGTGTGTTCGCAGAATGAGATCTTGCGAATGAGAAAGACAGAGTATGGCCGACTCAAGTAGGTGCTGGCGTGAGTGTGTCGTGCGGTCGAGAGCGAGTGGTGCTGGCAACGATGACGATGAAAGAGTAGAAGAAGCAGTAGTAGCAGTAAAAGAGGACACGCTACTCAAGGACTCGGTGGCCGAGTGGATCTTTTGGTGGTTGCTGGACGACGTCGTGTTGGGCTATGCGTTTGACGTACACCGTCTGTGCGCCACTGGGATGTGGCAGGCCATCGAAGGAGTGGACGAGGACGACGCAGACGACCATCAGGTTTGAGCGAATGGAGTGAGATGGGTGTATGGAATGATTGATTGATTGATGGAAATGCTGGTTCCTTGCCCTCTTGTCATTCGAACGAGGTTCTCAGGTTGTGGACGACCCGCAGTTGGACATTTTCGGACGCCCGCTTTGTCGTGGCCGGGGCAAGAGCGGCGGCGTATCGGCCAAATGTCCTCAGTGTCGGCGCATGCTGCAGGCGTGTCGCTTAGCCCCGCATTTGGAAAAGTGCATGGGCATGGGACGTCATTGCTGGCGCGTGGCGAGTCGGCGGATCACGTCCGCCATGATGGAATATCGGTCGAGCGGTGACGAAGAAGAAGACGACAATAATAATAACGACGAGGACGGAGATGGTGATCGTTGTGACAAGGACAACAACATGAAGTGCGTTGCGGGGGGCAAAGTCAATGGTCAGCGCCGAGACTCGTGTGACGACGGCAACGAGGACGATTCAACCCGCTGGTACTTCAAAAAGGATGCGTCGTCTCAAGGAACTTTGACGGACAAGGAAAAGAAGAAGAAGAAGATGACGAAGAGGAACCAGAGCAAGACTCGGGGAAGAGGTGGCGGTGATGATTTATTCATTTATTCATTGTCTTTGTTTTCTGGAATCTGATGCTTTAATTTTGACCGAGCAAAGTACTGTAGTGTGTCTCGCTATCATCATTGTTGTCGTTGATGTCTTCCCTCGTCGTCTTCGTCGTCGTCGTCATTCTGACCTGAACCAACACCGATGAGTTGTGCTTGCTCTCGCACGGCAGGTAAGCGTGGGGATGTGGCCCGTCGTTGGAAAAGGGCCAGTGGAGCCAGAGGTGGCCGGAGGACGACCTGGTCATCCAGTTCTCTGCCAACGGGATGCTGAATGTATGTTTTGGATTGTGGTGCTGCTGCTGCTTTCCTGTTCACGAGGCGGATGCAGGGATGGAAGGATGCATGTTTGACGGGCTGCTGAATTTTTGTTTCGACTGACTGCTGAGGATCATTTCGATTATTGCACGTTTGCGGTCACACACACACACACACCGGTTGAGTGCTGGAAGGAAGAGAGAGAGAGATGCATGATGTTCTGGCAAAGGATGAAGATGACAAAGCCATCATCAACAGCCCTTGCTTCTGTCTCTCTCTCTCTATTTTGTCATTCAACAATTCAATGTTGGTTCCAAGGAATGGGACGCTCGCTTTGTGATTTGATTTGATCAATTCTTGCAAGTTTTGGCGTGGCGAGAAAATGAAATACAATGAAATGGCGTTCCTTTTCATTTTTCACACCCTCCTCTTATATAACTATTGTATATACTATGTTGAGGTATATGCCGCCAATAATGGAAGAAAAAAAAACTATTCGTAATCACCCCTCCTTGAATTTGACAAGGGTCAGAAGTTGTGTAAAAAGAAACAGTTGTAATCAAATTCGAGGGAGAATTGGTGGAAATAAGGAGGGTATTTTCAATTCACGGTGATGGAAAACCCTGCAGTCGCATTTTCGTGTGCAGTACTTCGCGGTAGATGGGATTTGTTGGCCAGCAATCAACCGCTTCTTCTGTTTTTGTCTACTTACCTAAGACCTTGTCGTCACGCAGTCTAGACAGTACACGCGTGAGCACGAATGAATGGAAGCTTAGATGAACATCATGCAACCGCTGGCGGTGCGTTCATTTTTCATGCACTGTATGTACAATCTGAGTTAAAGGGCGTAGAATTACATGTTGTGGCCTACCAGCTGCGTATGGTATATATCATCCATGAAAGGGCCGGGCGTCTTTTGGTCAATCATTATTGTTTCGAATGAATATAGGGACAGTAAGAAGCGATTCGAGATGAAAAGAAATGAATGCATGTCAAGATGCGCATTGCACTCCCGCTGGTCTTGCACACGAGTACAGTATGGAGCTATGGGAAATGGACCTGTGTTCACGCGATGGACATCAGGATCTCGAAGTGTAATGAAGAGCGTATGTATGCGAAGGGCGACTATTTATTTACGCGTGTGTGCTGGATTAATGTTGTATCCTTTACACTGTACTGTACGTGTAAATAATACATGTTCCGAGACAGCATTATGTACTGTATATACAGGGAGCTCATTTACTGCAGCGAGTACATTGCACGAGACGTCGCTCGATGGGATGATGATCTTGTTGGACACCTCGCATCCGACGTCTTTTTTGGTGATGAGATACTATACTGTATATACTGTTGTACTGTATATAGTCTATACATGTGCCATTTATAATTGCTGATGCACGACGATGAGTGAGCATTTTTCATGCAAAAATTTTTATACAAGTAATGCTTGTCAATAGAATAGTGTCGGTTATTAATCGGCAGCACAGCAGCGATGATATGAAGTCAGCCATGCATCAGCTGCTGTCTCTGCATATATATATTATACAGTACATCTGATGTTGCACCGTGATGAGCCATCATCATCAGCAGTTGAAATACTGAATGCAGGATATGCGATGTACTGTATACTGTTCAGTATATAGCCGACAGCGAGGAAGCATCTCTCATCAATGTCGATGCATGAGGAAGAGAGAGCCGTCCCAAAAGACGTCGAGCTGGCGACGGGACTTGGCCAGCAGCAGGAGCGGTGCCAGGACAGCAGGCACGATGTAGAGCAGCGCTGGCTGGCCGGTCTGGAGCCAGAGACTGGCCAGCATGGACAGCGCCAGTCCTGCCGCGTAGGCCAGCACGGCCGTGAGGAAGTAGGCGTGCTGCCGATGCCAGCCATCAGCAGCGAGTCCGATGACAGAGGATGATGACGACGACGACGACGAAAGTGACACCAAGACGCGGTCAAAGGCAAAGGCGTACGAGGACGCGAGTCCCGGCCAGAAGATGTCACCCACTCCCAGCAGCACAAACGACCGCACGTTGCACACGCGCAGGGCGTCGTGGAATGCCGGCACGACGAGGATGTTGGGCCAAGTCGGGGCGGCATTGAAATAATGCTGCTGAGCATCATCATCACCACCAGCATGCTTACTTGATGACGACGATGAGGATGATGATGCACTACTGGCACTGCTCACTGCCACTCGCTCCATCACACTCACGCCGTCCGACGTGAGCAGCGGCGTGACAAAGACGAAAAAGACGTCGTAGCAAAAGACGAGGCCCAGGCCCGTGGCCACGAGTCGCATGGACGGCAGACGCAGGTCCAGGAGCCCGTTGACGGCCATGGCCACGCCGACAGCGTCTTGAAACACCCAGGCCCCAGCAGCGTGTCTATACATACCATCATATGATGAATATATATATATATATGCATCAGTATAAAAGTAAATGAATGAATGAAACGTGCCTGTTGTCCAACCAGTGAGTCGTGGCGGCCAGGGCGAGGGAGAAGAGCGTGGCGAACCGGATGCCCTCGAAAGAATAATAATAAGAAGTAGAATCATCATCATCATCATCATCAATATGATGGTCGTCTTCTTCTGCAGCTGATGATGAAGAAGACGACGACGAGAGAAACAAGGAGGCAAGGGCAGCTGGCAGTGGCGACGAGCGTCGGAACAAGAGGCGGTCGGCCAGTGTGGCCAGTTGGTGCGGCGCCACCAGGAGGCAGACGAGCGAGTCGAGGCGGTGGACGTGGTCGGCGCCGAGGTAGAGGCCGACGAGGAACACGCTCATCATGCCGACCATCTTGAGCAGGTCGCCGACGCTGGTGATGAGGGAGAAGCCAGCATCAGGGGCAGCAGCACCAGCATCATGCCTATGTATACATATGTTCATCACCATCATGTTATATTATACTGATGTACTATATAGTCTACTGCACTGTTTATGTATATAATACAGTAATATACCTGATGCTGTTGCGCTGATGCAGCTGGACTGGACTCGTCGTCGTCGCCATTGTAAAGATGGATCCTGATCCTGAGGAAGAGGAGACTGCAGCTGATGAGAATTGCGGAAACGAGGCGCCGCTGAGAGAGCCGCCGACTGCAAAGGCGAACGTGGCCAGTGCCACGAGCAGGGCCACACTCGGGTCAGTGGGACTCGCAGCCCTGGGCAGGTAGGCGCCAGCCAACACGACGACATGGCCCTGCTGGTTCCTTGTTCTCCTTTTCTGTTGCTGATGACGACGACTAATATTACTTGTCCGATTATTTTTATCATTATCATCATCGTCGAAAAAGAAGGATGATGATGATGATGATGACGACGATGATGAAGAAGCAGCAGCAGCAGCAGCAGTCGAGACAAGACGACGTTGAGCTTCCTTCACCCGCTTGTACCTCGTCGGCCCCACGCCCAGGACCGGCGCCGAAAAGGACGACGACCGCAACAACTTGGGCCCAGTCGCGGCGGCCGAGTAGAGCACCACCGCCGCCGCGCCGCCATGGCCCACCAGGTTCCGCACTTTCTTGTCCGCCGAGCAGGCGGCCGAGTCGTCCACAATCACCACACTGCCTAAATGTGTATATATATATACATACATAGAAACAAACGTCATTATTGTACGTATCGTATACATATATATACAGTGGAGTATATATGAATATGCCACGCACCCATTATGTATACTGTAAATATATATTTCCTTCTATACTGCTGATGGGTATTATTGTACTGTATATCGTATATAAACACAAGCATGCTGTGCGTATACACATCAGCTATACTGCACTGTATACATACCGAGTAATAGTAAGCGTGTTAATTCGAATGCAAATTATTACATCGTCTCCCATTTTCATAATGTTAAAAACGGGAACGCAATTTGTACAATAAGGATAAATTCCCAGTATACCAACCGTCGTTTTTGCTGTTGATGCGGCTGAAGAAAATTCAATTTATTCTTCTTTATAGGCAAATACGTAGTACAGTATATATATATACTGTATATAAGGGAATATACATCATGCCTGCCTTGCTGTGTTTATATAGGATATTAATGGTGAATGAGAGACGCGGCAAAGAAAATGAGGGATTTTCGTATATACTGCTGCACGTTAAACTGGAATATACAGCACTGTATATACAAGTACAGTACAAGTATTAATTGTAGTGTACCCGACACGCGCTTGGCGCCCGGAAAGGACAGGAATTTGTCCGTGGCCACGTAGAAACACGCGTCCCAGGGCACGAGGTCCACGAGTGGCGCCATCGTCGTCGTCACCCGCTGGTGCTGGTGTTGATGGCTCTTGTTGTTGTTGTTCCTGCTGCTGTTGTTCCTGCTGCTGCCCGTCAACTGTGACGACGACGACGACGACGGCGGCGGCGCCACGGGCAGGCGGTTTTGCTTGTCGAACACGGCAGTCACGCACACGTCTTGGTAAAGACGATGATTACTCTTTCCTGCGGATGTGCCGGGATGAGCAGCGGCAGTCATCATCATCGTCATCGTGGACGAGGACTCGAGTCGCAAGATGGCCGGCGTGGTCGGCAACGTTGCTGATGGCTTGTTATGAGCCCGACTGTTGGGTGCACCCGATGATGATGATGATGATGATGGTCGCCAGTTGTTGTGGAACCAATGCGATGACCAGTAGTTGTACAAATAGCGGGTCATCCAAGAGTAACCTGCATCGTCACTCATTGATAAAGGTGTTGGTGGTGGTGCTGCTGCTGATGGATCCTCCGAGTCTCGTCCTTCATTTCCTGCTGTTGCATCAACAACAGTGTTGCTGCCAATGATGATGACGACGACGACGACGACGACCAGCATCAGGTGCATGCTGGGATTCAGTTGTGGATGAAGCAACATAGTAAGTTGCTGCTGCGGTGGGCCTGGAGATGAATATGCAAGAGAAAGAAGAGGAACCTGCTGCTGCTGCTCAATTCTTGGCAAAGGATCGAGGAACAACGATGACGGCATTCAAGTCATCATGCAACACAGCAATCATCATCATCATCACGACCACAGCATCAATCAGCAGCAGCAGGATCCAGGGAGGAGGAGGAGGAAAAGAAGGACGAGGACAACTGCCACTTCATCAGCGTGATGCACACACACATATATATATATACATACAGAAAAATTTGGTTATAACAAATCATTTCTCATCATGAGATTTTAAAAAAATTCACAAATGGGCAGATTTTATCGATTTATTGTACCTGCATTTATTCAGCAGGTCATTCCTTCTGTGGCCTTATTCTCACGTTTTCTCACTGTTATACTGTATCTTCAAAGAGAAAATCGAAAGTTAATGGCAAACATTTACTATGAATAATAACATTAAGTTGAACACTATACAGCTCATTTTCTTGACTTGAAGCTTTCTTATTGAGCAATTCCTGCACACATTTTCAAGAGTGGATGTTTCCCACAAAAGAAAAAGGTTACAATTTTTTAAGCATCACTTGGGTTTCTCAAGCATATATATACAAACCCTTTTAAACATGCATTTTGACATGTTCATTTCTTTTCAAAACTCCCTTCTTCATCCTTCTTGACGAAAGAAAAAAAAATGGGAGAGGGTTAACAAGATTTTTTTCATGGATTCCACCCTGTGTCCCAATAAGAACACATGCAGTCATGACAGTGACATTTTGAATGAGAAATTTGATCTGGTGCCTCTTATATGCCTTCATCATACTGGGGATTGGTTTTGAAGAAATCACACAGTCTTCTGCAACAAATTTTGCTACGCTGGAATTGGCAAGTTTGCTGTAATTATGAGACGTTTATTGTAGCTTGCATTGTATATTATATAGGATTTCTACTAGGATGACTTATTGGAAAAAGGGTTAATGTTGTTCTCTTAAAAATAATATGTGTTTTATCCTTTCAGCACATTATTCGTTGTAACAATATTATTGACTGCATGTGTATATATGTCTGAGTACTGTATACTGACAGTGTATATATATACAGTAATGCTGCTATAATAAGTACCTGATGTTGATGATTGTCAGCTCATTTGTGTTGATTCCTATGCATTCCCTCGCATGCTGCGGCTGATGGTATACGTGGCATCATCCAAAATCAACACACATGACGTGCTGCGGGATTTTATCAGCATGATTGAGCACAGTGTGCTATAGTGATGCTGCAATTCTCATATCGTAATATTGAATGGACCCGGCAGGATATATATGAGTGATGAGAAAGAACCGCTGAAAGGAAAGGAAGGGAAGAGTGTCAGGAATGAAATACAGCAGCAGCAGGAGAAAGCAAGGGATTTCGAGTATACTGTGAAGGTTTATTCTCGACCGCGCTGAGACATCATCGTGGCTTCATTATTCCTCGTTCATTTCGTGTTTATTGCATTCATACAATAAGTAACAGTATAAATACTCTATATACGTGCGAGACAATTGATGCGTAACATGTATATATACAACATACACTTATTGATGCATGCACTGTACTGAGCACAGAATCAGGGCAATAGTCAGAGTGGTGGTTGTGTAAATCATCTTCTTATGTATATATAGTATACAGGCATGAATAAACGTACTGAAGCAGTACATTATTGCCGATATGATATAGGCTGCATATATACTGTACTGTATATCATGTCATTAGAAGAGTCGAAGACGTGGATGATGATCATATACGTATATATGAGGACGATATGCATGCTGTATATATATATATATAGTAGAGTATACACTGGTCTGCATGTTATATCATATATGCTGTACACCAGGAAAAAAAAAATATATATATACTAGGCAGCAAGAGGGAAATGGAACACTAAAGTACAGTATGCACTGTATATTGTACCATGCTGCTGGACAACAGCCTGGCGATGATGAGAGCTGCACATACTGTACTGTACTGTACTGTATTTGTATCATATGTACGTTATTCATCATCATCTTATTGCACGGCCTGCATGAGAGGGGGATATGCTGGTGAGATGAGCAGGAATAAGAATGGACATGATAATATTATACATAGGTGAGGTGCATGCTGATGCATGATGGCACTGGTATACTGCATGCCTGTGCAGCTGGTACAGCAGGGGAAATAAGTCATGCTGCTGCATGGTATTGTACTGTACTCTGTACAACAGGCGGTATAAATACGTACAGCATATATATAGATCGAGACATGAACTGCTACTGTTAACATCATGCAGCAGGACGACGATGTACATCAGTACAGCAAGTATATATATATATATATGGAGCAGGCGGATGAGAAAGGGAGGGATCCTCGTCATCAGCGTCGTCCCCAGCATCCTCCCTTCTTTATATATACATACAGCAGCCGCAGTGTGCGTATATGTGTATGTATGTGTCCTACCTATATTATACACCTCATGATCGAGAGGGAGGGAAGGACGGAGGGAGGGGCTGAAGGGAGGGTGGGAGGAAATGAGAGAAGGGATGATGAGGGCCGGGCTGTTGACTCCATAAGTTGTTGCTGCTGCTGCTGTATCTCCTTCTCTCCTTATTCACGTCCCTCTTTCTTTCGTGAGTTTGCCGCATGTGCTGTGCTGTACTGTACTGTACAGTATATATATATATAGAGACCAGTATCGTGTTCACAGTATATACAGTATGCTGCACATGCTGTATATCCGTTAGGGTAGACCTTTCTGCTGGTCCGCCCTGGATCGAGCAGCAACTCCAGCAGGCAGCAGCAAGAAGTTGAAGCTGCAGCAGCAGCAGCAGCAGCACTGCATCAGTGAGCCAGCAGCAGCGAGTCTCTGCAGATGCAGCACAAGAACAGTCGCCCAAATATATGTATATATATGTATATATAAATGTGCTGCACTTTGTTTATTTACGTGTAAATACTGTTGGCAGTGCTTGCTGCTACTACATATAATATACGACTATTAGCACAGTGCTGCATATCTTTATTTATCATGCAGTTTATCACAGTGGTGATGATGAATAATGATGAGGCTTGGCGCTGGCTGACCAACTACATATATATATATATATATATATATATATATATTATGTATATCTGTACGGTGACAGCATGAGCCACGATGCTGCAGCAGCTATACATCAAGTGCGTGCTGGTGTAAATATTCATACATCGATGGGATACATTTGCCACATGTGTATACAGTATATATACGCACTGCTGTGTATTATATATTACATATAAATACATATTGTATTGTATTATGCTTGCATCACGTTGGATGGGCCTATATATTAAGACAATAGGAGCGTACCAAGCCACTGTTGTGATTAAAGCCCGTGTAAGCGAGGATAGTTCAAAAGATGGAAGCAAGGATATACTGTTCATTGTTTAATTGTGTGTGACCACAGCTGTGTACTGTATACATTCATATATATATATATATATATATATATATATTACTGTTGTGCATGTTGGCAGCAAATGTCTTTTCAATAGTGGTGTTTAATATATGCACGCGTGCTGCCTTATTATCATCATAGGGTTGCTGCTGAGTGTGTGTGCTGCAGTAGTGTGCTGAGAGCTAAATACTATACAGCAGTACATATATATAGGGAGTGCTGATGATGATGAATATAAGTTGCGGGTTGGAAAAGGAATCTCGATCAAATTTCAATTTTTAATTGTACGTATTCCCTGTTTATGTATGCAGTACAAATATGCTTTATAATATCCTCGTTTCAAGTACAGTAGTACTCATCCAGTACCAAATATAAATTCTCAAGGCACTATAAATATAAATGCACTGTATGTACGTTGTATAGTAATGTACTGTACTGCAGTAACATGAAAACAGCTGCTGTGTACATTGATACGTTTATCTCATCTTTGTTGAGCATGAGTATATAGGAGCGTCCGCCGTCCATAACATGCATATATATATATATATATGTGTATATATATATGCATAGTCAATTGTATTGAAAAAATTAGAAAGGTGATGGGCTTGAAGAAAGGTGATTGTGAGAATAATGATGAATTTAAATGATGCATATATTTATGAGGAGGTGAAAGTGTGTCCAAAGTGTCATTGTTTTGCCGGCAGCGACCGCCGGCAAAAAACTCGTGCGGACCGCGGACCAACCAGCACTCGTTCACGGGTTAAATCGGACAACACTAGCTGCTGCTGGTACAGTATATAGTTTAGATTATTTTGTAATGATCAAGTGAAAATGATGAGGGTGGTCGTGGTGCAGTATAGTTTCCCTTTTAATTATTCATTGGATTCGGACGGACGATGATGAGTTGGATGATGTTCGATGATTACGGGAACTGATGCTGCTGTTGTATGATATGTGAAGAAGCAATGAACCGTGATTGTATTGCAGAGCACAGTGTATTATACGTGTATACGCGGTATATACATATATATATATATATATATATTTTTTTTTTTTTTATATTTATTTACAGTACTCACAGGACAGTGAACACATGTAGCCGTGTGTGTGTGGTGCAAGTGTATATACTCGTATTGTGGTGCGTTCGTCACAGCAGCATCCCTATACTGTGTACAGTACAATACTGTACAGTGATACGCTGTGCATGGTGTAATATATATAATGCTGAACCAGCAGCAGCAGAGACGACAATAAGAGCATTGTTGCACTCGAGGTCTTTGTTGACGTTTGTGGTGGTGCTGCTCCTCATCATCATCATCATCATCATCATCATTGGTCGTCTGCTGCTGCTGCTGAACGTGG